CTCTTTAGTTCCATACGCAAATATTATTTATTTTATAAAAAAAAAAAAAAAACATTTAAAAATCGTTTTGAATCGATTAACGAGGATTAGGCACCGATTCTATCTCTCAGCCACTTGTATTCGCTTTTCACCGCACCCCTCCCCCGTGACACGCGTCGTCACTGTCGTCAGTCCGTCGGAAGCTCTCGAATGACGCTGTCGTCGGATGTTTCTATTATCTAATTTGTTGTGAAAAACACTACTTATATATGAATAAATAGATATTTTTTCTTATGAATAAATAGATTAGTTTTTTTTTTTATCAAAAAACATTATTTATGCGAGTACTATTTATTGTTGGCAAGAAATAATTTTGTGGCTCTAAAAACTTTGAAATTTTGTAAATTGTAATTTTGGCTCTTCCGACTCAAAAGGTTGCCGACCCCTGGTCTAGGGTCATTCGTATTCGTTTGTTCGATAAGCCGGTGAAAACCGTAGCCTTCTCTAAATGTATTTTTAATATCACAATTACATTCTGAATCGCTAGCCATGATATAAGGGATAAAATTAAAAATAATAACTTACTTGGTGAAATAAAATATGTGGTGGATGTACCGGTACATACCTGGTGCAAAATATTCTTCAATTGTATGAATATACTTTTTAAAGAAAATTATAATTAAATTTAGCTTTGTAAAGAAACGTACATAAAAATAACATAAAATATTCTTTACTTTTTACATCTTAAAACAATCCACTTAGTCAAATAGCTCCTTACGAAAGGATGGAATCGGAGACGGTCCTCCTGGCAAGTGTGCACGCACATTGCCAAATCCCGACGTTTCCGATACTGGTCAATATCAAATGCCTTTTTTGTCGCATCACTAGTATATCTCAAAGGACGCGAGAGGGTTGTAAATTTTAAACGTTTCTACCATAGCTTTAAAAATCTAAATATGTTAAACTTAATAGATTGTTCACTTGTTTTCTGACTAATTCGTTTTAGGACCAGATGTCCATAGAAATTTCCAAAATTTACAACTTTTCGGTCACTCATTGAAGCGGAAAAATTTGTGTTTATTTATTACATCTAACATTACGAAGAAAGTCCCCACTGTACTCGTCTACAGATTTGTTCAGTTAAGCTTTTGTTTAAAATTCCGGCTCTTCAACAGGGTTTTATTTATGTCCCTAATCTCAATTATTTAACTATTACTAAACTAGAAATAAGTCGAAACCGGTTACTTTGTACTTGAATATTTGTAGTATCGGGAAAAAAGTGGAAAAAGAAATTTTTATGATAACGGATACATAAATCATAAATTAAAGGAATATAAATTCTAGAGTTTTTTTGTACCTTGTGCATCGCATTCATTAAATTTAGTTGTAAATGATGCCAAAGTCACTTAATTTTTTAAACATTGTATAAGAATTGTACGCGATTTTTTCTGCATCCCCTTTTAGATGAGGCACTAAATCGTAAAATCACTAGTTTAAGCGACAACAGTCAAGTATCGAGCTTTAGTTTAATAGCTCTATTTTGTTGACAAATGATCCAAGTTATGACCGGTTATTTTCAAATTAGAAGTTACAAAATATTTCGCTTGTGCCAGCGATAGATCTGGCATCTAACGGTATTAGCGCGAACTACGTAATGGCGGTTGCTATGGGTATAAAGTCTGTGATCTGTTAGAATTAGAAAGTGTTCAACCTACAATGGTAAATAATAAGTATTACTGTGAATTTGGATGTTAGTCTAAAGGTTCATCGAACTCAGTACATATGCGCACATTCCCAAAAAATAAGTTACTGCGAAAAAAGTGGGAAATAAAACTGAAGTTATCACTTCAGTTTCACTAACACCTAATTTTACTGAGCTTAAAATTCCTTTATTTTTACAAACGTTCTCAACCTATGTAATATAGTCATCGTCAGGTTTCATATTATAAATGTTCCAAAATGGAATGTACCATTTTTGAATATTTTACATATTTAAAATTTAACTTTAAAATAAATTTTAAAAAGTGTGTACTGTATCTTCTATATATATATATAACCCATTCAACGGTATCCGTCTTCCATCTGTCTGGCTGTCCCGTAACCGTTTGATAACGGACACTAGAGGCGCTCCTATCTTTCTTTCTTCTCTAATATGGAGATTCTGGCTGGTCACCTTTTCTCCGATGAACT